GTGAGAGCATACAAAAAATACTCCACATTTTTAATCCATCTTCAGGCTGTGTCAGTAGTCTCATTGAATTAAATTTATACGAGTGTTTCCTGCACATGTTAAGCAACCACCGCAACTGAAAGTATCGATTTCTGATGACGTTCCTTTCAGGATTTATGAATGTGAACGAATGACTGGAATTATAGTATGAATTCAGTTTCTTTTAATAGTTGTTGGAGTTATAGTATGATTTCAGTTTTTTTTAAATGTGAAATTCATTGACGTATGCATTCATATAGGGTGAGCAATTTAGTCACATGATTGACCTTGAGGCTTGTAAAGAAACGACTAACGGAATCTGACAATTTGAGCACATTAACAACTGTGACCAGCAAAAACTGTGCAAGCTTTTTTTCGGCAACGCTCATTGTCACAGGAATGAATGCTGGTACTGAGTGAGCTCGGCTGCCATCTACACCAGCAGATTGATAGATGCGAGTTAGGTTATTAGGTAGCATAAAAACTGGGTGGCTGCATGCGTTTACTGCTAATGTTGACCGGGAACATTCATTATATTAAAGGAAAATCGTGCAAAAACTCAGCACTTGCGAGTTATTGAACGTTAGATGCGCAGTTTGATTTACAAATTATCATGAATGAATTCTGAGATAGTTCGAAAGTATTTTTGCAACTAAAGATGCTCAATGTAATTGACAAGAGCGATCTGGTCTCAGCAAGAGACCAGTTTGCTCATCAGTAAAAAAGTTCACAAGAGCATTTCAAGATGTTTTGCAGTGGCACGCTAAAAACGGAAAGTTTATTCAACGAAACCCCTTGATCAATTGTTTTTCAGAGCTGATTCTCTATTTCACGGAATATTGTGTCCTAGTAAGTCCCCTAAAACTGCAATCAATGTAAAATACCGTTGTCACAGTACCGCTGTAGTCTATTGCCTAACAATCTTTTGCATTGATAATTTTGTCAAATAAGTATAACTGATTCAATGAATGAATTGAACGAATGTGATGCGATGTAAACGCGGAGCAGTGATGTCTGATTGATTATGCATTTTGATGGCAATATGCGCTAATAAATGTTAAGCGGATTTACTCATCGATATATACTTACAGCAGTATTCGTATTATAAATTTGAACAGTTATATGTTTTGGATGTATTTTATGCGTTTGCAGTTGATAATTATCAATCGAATATATAGTATAATATAAAATACTCGTTTTTGATTGTGGGATGATGATGATGTTATTGTAGCGCGTGTTATTGTGATTCGTCGGTGATTTTTGACAGCATTGCTTACGTCCTATTCATTTGATTTTTCATTGTTCATAAGTACTGAGGACAGAGAATATTGCTGCTAATACTGAGATATTCTATATCTTTCAAAAGTTACTCTTCATTTCGAACTTCTGTTATTATCAGAATCACAATCATTATTATCATTATTATTGATACTATATCACTATGGTTATTATTGGACCACTCGTGTGATTATTATTGTTTTGATGTTATCGTAATCACTGATCAAATCGATCATTAACATTCACTAGCATTCATTACGGTTCGATACTATTCAGTGTTATTATCCTATCCGTGCCATTTTTAATTATACCATTAATATGACGAGCGATAAAGCTGGATTTGTCCTGATCCGACGACTTGACCTGATTGCCTTAAAGTTCTCTGCAATTCTCAAATTTCAGTTCATCAAGCGCTCTTATTGGTGATTGGTGTTTAAGCAGAACAATACTCACACAGCTAGCAACGATGAGAACAGTCATTCTTGTGTTTCTTTTCATTTTCTTACGGTACGGTTCGGCTGCTGAGACATTAAAGAGCAACGACATTAAAGATCAAACGGTTGGAGAGTATAACAGCAAGGAACCAGCAAACAAGGAAGATGCACCGAAAAGGTTTCAGGTGCGGCAGTTCCCCATCGATCTTCTTCAACTTTTTGTTTTCGTCGCCGTGCTACCCATTGGTGTGCAATTGATGTTTGCTAGCCATATACCACTTCAGATTTAAACACTGGATCATATTTGGTATTTAGGCTCTACGTAGTCTATGGTGATCTTCAGTGGAACAAAGCTGATACTGCCATTCAATGAAACAATGAATTTCAAAATCATTAGGGTATTCTTCCAGCTAGAATACCCTAATGATTTTGAAATCTTCATTTAAAAAAATTAATTAAAAAAAACAAAAAACAAAAAATCTTGACAAAAAACAAAATCTTGATAAAATCAGTCAAGGTGTACGTTAGCTAGAAGTTCTCCAATTCTATGCGTAAACTGTGATGATAAATTCGAATCTATAGACAAACCATAATTAGAGATGATTATCAAAATTAGGCGTAGTTCACGGCAAAGCATGCCTGCCTGTGAAGTTGATCTCGTAGGAGGGCAATGTTTGACTGGAGTTAGGCGATTTATTGATGAAGTGAAAGTAAGCAAAATGCCGTTTCAGGTTATTTCTTACAATTGGGAAGAAGTGCAAACACCGTTGACAATATCTGTTTGGTTACTTATGGCGAGTATCGCGAAAATATGTATGTGCTTAAAATATGAATCTTTCCAATGCTCTTTCGATAGTCCAATAAAGAGCGACGTCCTCAGAGTCGTTCATTCAATATTTCATACCAACGATCACGAAACCGAAGAAACATCAATATCACCATATCAATTACATCAAATCATGTCAAATTCCACGATATATCGTATCTTGAATGCTTGAATCATAAACTAATCAAAACGTTATCATCACTGATCAAACAGATCAAATCTTGATAAAACCAATCAAGGTGTACGTCAAAGCTAAAATCGTAACTGCTATCCTGCATAAGAGCGATCTTTTAATTCACTATGAGAACTCATGGGTTAATTCCAATACCACAATTGCTTTCAGCGATCCTATCGATGACAATATTCAATTTCAGTTTTTCATTTATCCAAGAAAATCTCCGACGTATTTCCGGATTCTTCACTGCTGATTATAGTCGGATTAATACTCGGCGTTGGACTGAAGTTATACCACGTGAATGATAGTGTTTTTTCGTTATCGTCGAATGTTTTCTTCCTTTATCTATTACCTCCAATCATCTTTGATGCAGGTGAAACGTTTGAAATAATTTCAATCACTGACCAATTTCTTTACTGTGAATCATTAATTCGATTCGTCGCTTCATTCCATCTCTGTTAAATGCCAATGAACTGTAACCTCAGATTAAATACTAATGGTGCTTAGGAATTCTTGAAATAAAGATCTCATAATCTAAGACATTTCATTCTCATGTTGATACATCAACATGATTTATTGTGATCTGCAGTAAATCTCTTAACCTAGAACATCTCGCACTTATGCTGATAATGAATTTTAGGATATTTTATGCCGAATCGTGCACTCTTCGAAAATTTCGGCTCAGTACTGAGCTTCGCTGTGTTTGGCACAGTATGGAATACATTTGCAATTGGTAGGTGCCTTTCTTTAGCGTCAATTTCGTGACATTTGGTGTTACTTCCGTTACTTTTGGTGCTACTTCAGTTATTTTTCGTGTTTGCACTATTTCAGTCTTTTCATGTGTTGTGCCTGAGAAATGAGCAATCTCTTCACCTCTCACTTAATAAATATTCCCATCGTAAAGGATCTATGAAAGTTTCATGCAATAAAGGCACCAACTAGGTTTATCTAATATCAGATGAAAACTCCTTTAAATCAGTGCATTAATTCAAAAGAGTTTGTTCTCTTGAATAAATTTTCTCTCCATTACAATATATAACAATTTCATTATTGTAGTGTTTGCTTTCAGGTGCATCGTTGTATGCGTTAGGAGAGTTTGGCATATTTTCGGTGCAATTCTCAATATTCGAAATCTTTTTGTTCTCGGCGCTTATCAGTGCTGTGGATCCAGTGGCTGTTATTGCTGTCTTTGAAGAGATACACGTTAATGAAGTACTTTTTATTACTGTGTTTGGCGAGGCGCTCTTTAACGATGGTATTACTGTGGTAAGTCACTGAAACTGTTATTCTTGTATCGCAATGACTGCAGTTTAGTAATGAATTAATTGTGGCTCAAATTGGAGCATTTAAAAACATCGATAAGAAGGCGATTGAAATGAATTTATTATTGTTGTTGAGAGAATCATTCACATTACGATTTGTGACAATTATTCATACTTAATGATTCCGGCACACACACACACACACCCTTCAGCTCAATATCTATAAGAATTCTTGTTCGAGAGTTATTGGGTGAGAGCGGAAAATTGAGGAAATTGATGAAATTTGAAGGTGTTGTATCAAATGTTCAAAAAGTTCACGCTGATTGGACCTGATAAGCTGATCCCAATTGATTACGTGGCTGGCGGTGTGAGTTTTTTCGTGATCGGTTTAGGTGGTGCTGCTATCGGATTGGTGTACGCTGTAATTGTCAGTTTTATCACAAAGTGCGTTTGATGTGCCAGTTGATCTGGCTGGCATTCTTTCATATTGTATCCGGCAAAGTAACTCGTTCAGAAAATATTGTTGCCCGAGCTGACTGAACTCGTTTCCGAATGAAATTTCTCAACTGGATACCATTTTTACTTATCCTTAAGACAATAACCAGAAAAGTTATAACTCTAAACATTCGGAAGTATTCAGTCTTCCGAGAAATCCTGTAGGTCGTTTCGTCGTCAAGCGGTTAATGTCCTCTCGTTGCAGGTACACCGAAAAAGTGAAAGTGCTCAATCCCATATTTATATTCGTAATACCCTATTTGGCGTATTTAACTGCTGAGACATTCGGTCTATCATCGATCATGGCGTATGTTCATCAGAATCTCTGGATTTAGAAAATCATATATTTTGTCAAGCGATTTTGCTTTGTTGAGGAGATCTAGCTATTTTATTAAAGCTATCTCAACTACCTCTGAATTGCTCATTGTTATGCATTTGCTCACTATAAATCAGTAGATGCAATGCAATAGCATAGAAAATAGCTCNCAGTACTGAATTCTTCCTCTTCTCATTCACTCATCTAATTTCACATGATTCCTTTTCGATGCACTCGAATCCAACCCATGAGATGAGTAAAATTTAGAATTGTTGCGTGTGGAATGGCGATGAAACAATACGTGAAAGGTAATATCTCGAATACGGCAATCGCATCCGTCAAATACTTCACAAAGATGCTGGCACAAGCATGTGAAACGGTCATCTTCATGTTCTTGGGATTGTCAACGATCTCCAGTCATCACCACTGGGATTTGGCATTTATCGCGCTCACAATTGTCTTTTGCATGATCTATCGATCGATCGGTACTGAATTCTTCTCATTTCATAATCACTCACTCCTTTTTTCGCAAATCTTTCTCGACATCATCAGTCAAGTCTTCTAGGACTAGACATTGTTGCGGCATAAAACATCACACAAATTCAAAAACAGAATATAAATACCTAATCCTCTGTTCTGAGTTCATCCTGAACGCAAAGCATCTAGATGAATCTTTTAACGAATTTCATATTGTATCATGGAAAATGAAATAGGACTGTAGAAGCAATGATTTCTTGTTGTTAGGAAAATGTTGTGCATTTTCATATAGAATAACAGTGATTGTCTTGAAAATTTAGGTGTGGTAGTGCAATGCGCAATTCTGAATCGTTTCCGAAAGAAGCACTTCTCACCGGTGGATCAGTTTGTGATGGCATACGGCGGATTGCGAGGTGCGATCGCATTCGGTCTAGTTGTGTCGATGCCCGAGCAGATTCAAGCAAAAAGCATGTTCATCACTGCTTGCATTGCGGTCATCTATTTCACCGTATTCTTACAGGTTATTTTTTTACTGAAATACACAACTTGAATATTTTTTTAACTTAAATATTCAGAATCGGCCGTCTTTATCATCTAGATCAGTGGAGTGAAATCAGGGGGTGAAATTACCCATTGCGGATAATTTGTAGGTATCAAGGGATGTCATTAGCTCATGTCATTAGCTCGTCCGCACCTAACAGGGTTTCCATTCGTTTTAACAGGGTTTTCATTCTTTTCCTTGTTGCTATAATCACTCTCATAACTTTTATCACCAAATGTATTCTCTTTTGCTAAATTCTCATTCATTTCACTCAACAATCAAAGTCAAATTCTCATTCTATAAAATACACTCTATAATTGATCATTTGACTCTCGAATATTGTTGAGCAATAGTATTCGATTGCTGTATTGTCGATTTCGGCTGTCAACATTCGTCAACGTATCCAGTAAATAGTATATGCTACAGAATAAGAAATTGATTCGAACTGTGAAGTGAAATGAGACGAAGTGAATGAGAAAAACTCATCAAGAGAACGATATTCGCATGTGATAGCTATGAGAGTGAATAGAACNCACGTCTGAAAAGAATGAGAATCCATCTGAATCAGTGTGAAGTGAGTGTGTCACAAACAATTGCTTTTCATGCAATCATAATCGATTGCAATCATGAACAACGCAACGGACTACGACGAATGGGTAATGGAGAACCCGAACTTGAGAAGCTTTAATCTAGATTCTAGAGTAATCCTATAAGCAATAAAGAGATGCAATTCAGGGTATGACAATCAAACCGTTGGTGAATTACTTGAAGATCGAACGTGAAGACCAAGAAGGACCAACACTAATTCAAAGTGTTTANTGCACATAACCTTTGCGCGAAAATCTAGACCGCTTGTGGGAGTTGACTACAAATTTGAAGCAGCACGTCAGAAATTTTGATTTTGAAGCAGATCTTCTGAGTGGTTCACAGAAAGATTGTGAAATGATACGAAACTATTTGTTTGCAGTATTTCGATTATACAATGGCCGGTGTAGAGGATATTGCTGGACAAAAGGGACACAATTCAATTCGTGACACGTACGGTTCACATTCCATTTGCATTCATCCCCATCCAAAAAAAATTCCATGTAATACACAGTAAGCAATGAGGACGAAATCTGATGCATCAATCATGCGTTAAAATTATTGAAGAAAGCCTTTTCACTTGAGTCAATGAAATAATTCCTTGATGAGATGAGAAAAAATCGTATAGTATTTTCTCATTCTTAACCAGTATTGCTCCTTATCCTTATCACACGCTCTGCACTAACCGTGATGGGCTGCATCATTGATCAGGAGCTACTGATCAAAAAAACTCAATGAGGGAATTCACTAAGTTCAGCTGGGCTAAAATTTTGTTGACCGCATTCGATCAAGCCATATTTGAATTACCTGGATCCAGATAATCCACATAATATCATACCTGGATAATCATATCCTACTTGGATAATCCACATAATCCAGGTATGATATGTGATATCATATTTCATAAATAGGCAAAATAAACTGAAAATTCAGTTTCGAACGTCTGAATGCGACGATTCTACGACCACTATTAATGCGTAATGAGAAGAGGCGACGATTCGATGCGTCCAAAATAGTTCGAGCCTACACCAAGATCACTCTCAAAGAGGCAATGGAGGTTGCGAGCAATGGAAAACGATCACGGGAGGAGATTGAACCAAGACGAGTGTAAGGCACCATCAGTTACTTCATACTGCTCATACAAAGTCGTCAGTCTGCGTGTTAATGCGCTAAGAGCTGAAATACTTCAAAATACAATTCAAATTCAAAAAAAATTCTTCTTCAGCAACAAAAATTCTGCAATAAAGTTCTGAAAACAAAAATCATTTCTTTGAATGGGAATTCTTGAAGCAGTCGAAAATTTGTCGAAAATTTTGAATNTCATACTGCTCATACAAAGTCGTCAGTCTGCGTGTTAATGCGCTAAGAGCTGAAATACTTCAAAATACAATTCAAATTCAAAAAAAAATTCTTCCTGGGCAACAAAAATTCTGAAATACAATTCTGGAAACGAAAATCATTTCTTTGAATGGGAATGCTTGAAGCAGTCGAAAATTTGTCGAAAATTTTGAATACTTCAATTGTGGGAGTTCCAATGAGTCATCGCCAGAAATTTTGCAGACACCTTGCAACTGGGCAACTAGATGCGAGTGGAATCGACAATGCATCGTATCAATCTGACGGAGGGGCAACCACGTCGTTGGGACAACGAGAAGTGGCTCTTAGGGATGAACTCGCCAAGGTTACCAGACGAACATCTGTTTCGGATGTTCACTTCGAATATTTTCAGCTCACATTGCAAAATTTTATTTCCAACCTCGCATTCAACTAAGATATTGCACGGAAATTGGCTGCTTGAAGTTTTGAGTGATCTCATCTAATTTGGTTTCATATTTACAGTATATGTCATCACGAGAGAACACAGAGGCGTTATATACGATGTTCAGCGAGTTGTTAGAGCGTAAACTTCGTGAAGCTCAAGCCACGTCGACTGATGACAATTCATCAGATGACATCGAAGATGACTATATGCGAGAAATTATTGGACCGAATCTTACGGTTCCCACTCCTGGTGCTCCTGAGGTACGTGTCTGGAACAGTATATATCACTCGGATTGAGTTGCATTTCCGATAAACCCCTCACGCATATTTCTTTCCGCTCCAGTATCAGAGCATACTTTCAGTAAAGAAATTCCAGCTCGCAGCAATTCATGAATACTCGAGAACGCTTCGAATTCAGCGAAATTTTAAGATTCTCATCAACTACTTCTAAGAGTTTGAAGGGTTTATGTATACCAAACGCTTCTGATATGCTCTCAATCAGCAAATTAAATGGTTGAGGACAGTTTTCTCAGTTCATCGTAAAATTGGTTACAGGAAGGTCGACAGGCGGCCCGTAAAGCATCACGATCATTGGCAAGCGTCTATTCGGTAGATATGGAGATGGGAAGACGAAGACCAGTTTCTCGCAGTCGAAGTGTGGGTCAAGTGAATAGGACAAACGTCTGAGCTCACATCAGATGTTTGTTATCCGTCGATCATTTCAATACAATTCACAACCACTTATCATATGCATCCAGCAACAAATTAACTTTATCCAACTGACGAACTAACTTATCACTCAATGTTATCATTACAAACCAGATGGGAATCGAGATTCATCTCAAAACACTCGCATTCCCTTAAAATGACCACACAAATGTTTTCGGAGTAGACTCTTGAGCAGATACTTACTTGATCGGGTGAGTATGAATTATAAACTATTCATCAAGCAAACTAAATAAATGTAGCGTTGGATAGAGGAGGAAACTTTTCTTCCTGCGCCTGTCCAGTGAATTTCGATTGTTGGTTCGCTCAGATGCAAGTGAAAAGAGTGAAAATTCAGGTTATTTCCGTTTTCGATCAGTTATTTAGGAGTTGAAATCGATTCCACTCATTATACATGCGTATCCAAGTCAGTTGTCGTCGGGTTGATTGATTTGTTCGTGTTCACAGCGTAATTCGTCTGTAATTTATTCATTTCGTCTGAATTTGCAACGTTTGCACTTCAACGAAAAATATCGTTCACACCACTAAATGAGATGCATCAAAATGGAGTTTGCAAAGTCCGATCGATCTTACTTACATCTCTTTCGGATGAGACAGTTGAAATGCGGCAGCCGTGTTTTGCTGGCCTCGGAAACCAGTACGAATGCAGCAATAGATTTTAGTCCAAATGAAGTCCAAACCTAGGATCTGTTGAGTTCGGCGGATTCTGGCCTGAATCTATCGATCTCCAAGTTAATTTTGAGCAGTCGTCGTCGATGATCACTCAGCCTGAACGATGAACTTCAAAAAACTTTCCATTTTGAATTAACTAACGATATTCATCGCGATCACTATTCATCTGTTACGAATTGAATGAAATTAATTCGATGTGATTAGCAACCAACCTCATGTGATAATTCATTTTCTCATTTTTTGATTGTATTGAATATAATAAGACTCTGAGTGAGCCACTGACCAAGCTCATTCTATTCAATTTTACGCGTATTATTGCTAATCTCTTGTTAACGATCACAAAATGACTATTCGTTAATGTTTAGTCGATATGTGAATTTTTTCTTTTGAATTCACATTCACATTGCTGTTTTTACTGTTTTTCAAGTCCTTTTTACGAAAATCTTGTTAACTGAGCATAGTTCCTCTTTTAGAAATGAAGTACACTATGGAAATATTTCCCATCGTAGAATTTTATGATGAATAAATGGAATTTTACTTTGCTGACAATGAGGAATTAAAAAATG